CAGGCAATGCATTCCCCACGGAGGAGGCCAATCTCGTCCGTCCACCAGTATATTGCTCGTTTGTGTGTTCGGCCCTTGCGTCGAGTCATCGTGGCGTCGCACAGTTCCGTTATCAGTTCCGTTGTCTTGTCCGTTATTCATTCGGCACGCTCCCGCAGACCAAGCTCTGCCGGGACAGACTCGGCGGGTAACGGTGCCTCCCTTAGCAGTTTGTCAAACAGCTCTCTATCTTGTCGTCGTAAGTTCCAATACGTTGAAGTCCTGTCTCTAGTTTGTCCGTTTCGTATGTTCGTCGATTGATTTGTCACCTCAAAGACGATGTGCTGATGATCGCTGGCTGTATAGTCCTCGGTCACCCGCCATCCTCTTATCCGCGACGAGATCCTGTCTGACGTCATCGTCACATCGGGTATTGAGTATCCGAAGCCCGGTCGTCTATAGGTCGTTGTCGTCCCTTGGTTGACCACTACCAGATCAAGCCTTGCGGCCATTTCCAGAAGCAGTCTTCCTCGTTTGTCCGTCGTTGTCATACCCCACTCGACCGCTCTCGCGTTCATGTCTCCCGCGACGACAAAGTCACCCGGGAGACCTGTGAGGGCGTCTTCCAGCTTACCGACTTTTTCCTCGTACACTGCCATCGTGCAGTTTGGGGTCAAATATACGCTAACGTAGGTGACGGAATCTACCCTCACCCACGCGTTAAGGTTTAAGTATTAGGGAATTATTATTATTAAATTTATTTATTATTATTTTATTATTAGGGAAAGCGCAGTTACTCTCGTAAGGCTACCTATCTTTGGCCTCATGATTTAGCGGGTTATGTAATAAATAAAAAAAAAATTTGTTAAGGCAAATTTGAACGAAAATTTTTAAAGTAAGTCTGCGTTTGTTTTTTAAGCCGCTTACATGATGTACTCGTGCAAAGTAAAGTGCCAGACGCAAACATATTTATTGAAATGCTGTACTCTTACACAGATCTTCCCGAACGTGCACGAGCGTAAAGTCGTTTCCTGGCGGTAAAGCCAATTCTTGGCTTCAAGAGTTTGACTCCTGGAAGCCATTAGACCTCGCGGGGAGTTCGACTTCCGGGTTTCGTAGTCGCCTAAGAACGGAAAGGGGAAGCTGCTTAGCTGACCTGAGGACCAGTAGGCCAGCGAGTGGAGGAACGAGTGAGAAAGCATTAGTTGTCAAGTAGACGGGGTGATAGGATAATGAGAATAATTCAAGTTCGAACGGGCAAGAAAGATTTCGTTAAGCCAGTTCATAAGCTAGTGAAAATATGTAGCTCGGAGTAGTATAAAATTACGTAAATTAGAAAAAAAAAAGAAAAATTTTGTAACGTGAATTTGAGTGAAAATTATTAAAGTAAGTTTGCGTTCATTATTTAAACCGCTTACATGATGTACTCGCGTAAAGTAAAGTGCTCGAAGCGAACGTATTTATTGGAATGCTGTACTCAAAATCTCGTACACAGCTCCTCCCAAACTTGACGTACACGAGTACAAAGGCGTTTCGTGGCCGTAAAGCCAATTCCTGGCTTCATAAGCTTGACTCATGGAGGCCGTTAGACCACGCAGGTAGTCCAACTTTCGGGTTTTCTAGGTCGCCTAAGGACGAAAAGGGGAAGCTGCTCAGCTGACCTGAGGACCAGTAGGTGAGGGAGCGAGTGAAAGAGCATGAGTTGTTAAGTAAACGGGGTGTGGCCTAAATTCTGCTGTGCGTAAGGTCCAATGAGGGAGGCTACCCTCCTAGGGATGCTGTTGTGGCTGGAACGAGACGCGCCGCCAACAATTTATCTTCTTTTCACGCACTTTTACTTTTTGGCCTGCGACGTGTAAATTGCTTTATTCTCGAGCGGAGATTCTTTTAAAGTTCATTCGACTTACTCCGAGCGTTCCCTGCGGGGCTTATCCTTGTATAATTTAATTGTACTAACTTCGAATAAAAATTGTTGTGTGTATTTTATTTCCGCTGAAATAAAATTCGGTATTTTTGTTCACTCCGTCCCTTTCAGTGTTCATGTTACCAAAGCAATCACCATTGTTTATATGATCTGACCATACGTCAGAACATATAAACCATGAGAATAGAATACGAGTCATTTTTATATATTTCTTATATTGGATCTTGTATGAGAATAGATTCAAGCATGAGAAATAGGAGGCGGAAACATCCTACGGGATCTAGCGATGTTTTCTTTATTAGAACTGATGTAATAGTTTTTAGTAGGGAAGGATGAAAAATAGATAAATTAATTATTTTGTAATTTTTGTTGTTGAAAACTATGCGACTAATAAAAAAATTGCTAAAAAAAGTTTCATTTTGTTTTTCCAAATCTTAAATTTTTAAATTCGCCATCCGCCATATTGGATCGGCCATCTTGATTTTGAAAATTTCAGCGTGGATTTAAATTCAGTAGCACCTAAAGCCTACTATGATACAATAGTTTCCTCCGAACTCGTAAGCGATGAAAACGTAGATCTACGTAAGTATCAAATATTCTTTTCTCTTTTCTCGAAAACTATGTGACTAATCAAAAAACCACTAGAGACAGTTTCTATTTGTGTTTTCACGAAAAAAACGCTAGTATTTTTTATTTTTCAAAATCTTGAATTTTTCGGTTTGCCACCCGTCATATTAAATCCACCATTTTAAATTTTGAAAATCTAACAGAGGATTCGGATTCAGCAACGGTTAGGACCCTGTAAAGTGGATTTCGTTTTTCTGCACCGTAGCTGCAACTCTTTGGTCAGGATAAGGATTATAATATCGTGTAAAAAGCGAAAATTTGAGTGTACGTACATTTGTCGTCGAGTATGTGGCAGTCATACTTTTCGCACGAAATTTTTTTCTGCTCTAAGGTCTTCTTTTTTAATACCATTTTATTTGCTCAGAAAATTTTCTAGTAGTCTCCAGAAGTGGTAAACCAGTAGCTAGAGAGTGTGATTTTTATTGTGTATATTTTTAAAATAATAGTAAAAATAACAAAGTCACGGCGAACTTTTGAATGTTCTTTAGCATTTTTCATTCCATAATATAAGGAACATAAAAATTCAGTCCGAAAATTCAAATATTAAAATAATTTTTTCGAGTTTGGATTTCATAAAAATGTATTTTTTGGTAGATTTCGTCATATAATTATTTAAATAAACTTATGCACACATTACTCCTACTTATGCGGAATGTATTAAAAAATGAATTAGGGTATGCTGCACCAGTCCACATAGAATATAAAGGTATATTTTAGAAAATTATTTCCCACCTTCTCACCGTTAATAAACCTAAAATTTCCTCTGAAATTTCTGCAAAAATATAAATTTGTACTGAGGCGCAAAGTATCGGTTTATGCACGTGTAGATTTATATCTTTATATACGTATGAGTCATTCATTGTCAGGTGGACCCCCCTCTCTCTTTCTCTCTCTCTCTCTCTCTCTCTCTCTCCAAAGTTATAGTGACCCTAGAAAGTCATCAGTGGATTTAAACTTTTTCTCTGCATATCTACTTTACATGCAATATGGCTATTTCAAAAATCCAAGGGGCGGCTAATACTTATTTAATCCTAGTTAATCCTGAAAAATTTTTTTAATTCGGCGATATCTCGTTGAATTTTAGTGCCACTTGTTTTTTGAGACCGGCAATAGATTCAGCGTCAAATTTTACATTGATATGTACTACTGTACTCAAAATCATAATCATGCACCCAAGGTCATTTGAAGTTCAAATATATTTTTAATCGCGTTTCCCGAAATACTGCCTTTGTAATATTTCGAGAATTAAAAATGTGATATTTCATATATAATTTACAATTGTCAGCTAGAATATGATTAATAATGCTATTTTTTTTAAAAGTTATAAATATATATTATTGACAATTTACTTGCTTTATTGAAAATGAAACGAGTAAAAAACAGCGATGATTTTTAAAAAAAATGAAGAGACAGACCGGAGAATCGAACCGGAGTCCTCTGGGTTGGCAGGCTAGCGCTCTACCACTAGAGCCAATGCCACATGTACCTTAGAGGATGCATATTGTGTATATTAGCTACATACGCATACATTTGGTTTGGGCCTGAGCGTGCGGAGGAGCGGGAGCGCATGCTGTCTATAGTTCTGACTTGAGGATGCGTGCTCTTTCTCTCCCTCTCTCTAGCTCTGACTTAGCGTGGACCATAGCGCGGAGGAGTGGAGGAGCGCATATGCAGCTATGCTTACTACCTACCCTCTTATCTTAAGTTAACTATGTCTATTATAAATGTAGATCACAGCTGGTTTGAGGATGATCAAGCTTCTTCACTACTTTCCGGAAGTGAGAAAAAGAGAGCAGCTATGTTTTGCCACCAACCCTCTTTATCTTATACTCCATATTGTAGAAACATATGATCTCTTATTATTACAAGCGTTCGGTAGGATTTTCGACGGTCAGTCTCAAGGCAAACATCGAGTTAGTCATAGCACATTGTGAAATTAGTTTTTCTATTTATTTGTGTAAAAAAATTTGTGTTAGTGAAAATGGAAAGTATCGTTAATGTTTGTCAGCTTCTGGAAACCGTAAGTAATCATTTTAAAAATTAAAAATAATTATATATATATATAATTTTAATAATTTTTAATTATAATTTACAGAGTACTAATGCTATCCCGCGTGAGCTACTGTATCGGCTGCTCATTGTTATTTTAAACGCAGTAAGGTCTTTTTTATATTATTTAATATTTAATATTTAAATATTTATTTATTTATTTATTTTCAGTTGCTTAGGTGTGCAGGCAATGCACAACACGTTGCCCAACTTACCCAGATTATTGCGATTGTTCGTGAAGTAAGTATATTAATATTATTATTTAATTCTATACATATACTTATACAGATTTTTCATTTTTCAGTGGATCAAAGAATCAATGACTGAAAGACTGGTCGCGCAACAATTGGCCTATCAAATTGAGAAGACTATAGAAGAGCGAGTGAGGGCGCAGCTATGTCGCTAGAAGCGCGCAGAAATAATGAGAAAAAAACCAGAATTTTCACGATTAGAGCGCAAGAGAAAAGCTGAGCTGGCCAAGACGGTGCAGGATGAATTAGCGGACAAAATAAAAAAAAGATTAGTTGCGGCAAAATCATTGTCATCAGCATCGCCCTCATCTACATCATCTTCAGGATCGGAGACGTTGTCATCATCGTCTACGTCAGCATCGTCTACGTCTGCGTCATCTACGTCTGCGTCTACCACATCTGCGTTTGCAACATCATCGATGCCTTCGCTTGACATTTTACAACATGATGAGGCAATTGATTTATCTACTAAGGTAAGAAAACACTTATATTTATTATAAAATTTATATATTTCATGCGTTTATTTTAAACAAAATTAATTAATATTTTTAATAATTTACAGAGAACTGTGCCGAAGAAGCCACAAATCAAGAGTAGTGAGGCTATTCGGCGTAAAATAATCATGATTCCGATATTATTTTAATAGAATGATCATATTACCGACAACGAGAAAGCCGACTCGCCCCCTCAAGGTAATAGGAACGCATAAGAAGAGGACAAAATAAATTAAAATAAATAAAATGCTTTATTTTTTTAATTAGAGAGAGGGAGAGAAAGAAGTGAGAGAGTGAGAGAACTAGTGGTAGAGAGATAGAGAGAGAGGGAGGGAGAGAGAGAGAGTTCCATATGCTGTTATGATTAGGTATTATATATTTAAAATTAAATTATTATTATATTTAAACTTAAATGCTTTTATTCATAAAATTTAACTTGATATATTGTATGTTACACATTTTTATTTATTTAGCTTATATTTAATTGTATTAATTCCAATTTATTTAGAGAGTCAACTATATTAAACTAATTTCTTCACATCACCGCTGATTGGATCTGCCAGTGGGCCCTCCGACAGAGTGCCTTCCCCAACCACCCATCCACCTACTCCACCCACCCACTCACACCCACCGACCTACCCTCATCAACCCACCCACCCACACCCACCTACAGAAGTTATTAAGGTAGGATGCTGTAGAAGTTGGTAGGATATTTAGTAAGCTATATGATGGTCTCTCTCATTCTCCTTCTATAGTAGAGAGCATAGTAAGCTTATGCTGGCTAAGTTTAGGCCCTCGGAGAGGGGGTAGCGTCTCTAGCTTGCTAGGTGCGTACGCCGTTTAGTCTGGCTGCTTCTCTCTCTCTCTCTCTCTCTCTCTCTCTCTCTCTCAATGATTATAGGTAGTTTGTATTAAATTCTAACAATTATAACGGGGTTTTGGCCCAGTGAAATTGGGCCTGGCTAGGACAGGGACCGTTGCCAAAAGGGCTTTGACTTGCTCGAAAGCTTGCCGTTGCGCCTCCTGCCATTCAAATTTGGCGTCCTTGCGGGTGAGCGCGTTAAGCGGCTCGCAAATCGTGGCGTAATCGTTTAGAAATTTTCGATACCACGAGGCCATGCCCAAGAATCTGCGCAAAGCACGAAGATTTTTCGGGGCTGGGTACTCGAGTATCGGTGCGACTCGTTCTGGATCGGGACGTGTACCATCGCGATTTACTAGCACGCCGAGATAACGCACCTCGGTCATGCAAATCCTGGACTTCTTGCGGTTGATCGTAAGGCTAGCTTCACGTATTCTTTTTAGAATATGCGTGAGCCAGCGGACCATGCTCTGAGAACATTTCAGTAGCGATGATCACGTCGTCAAGATACGCGAAGGCATAAGGCTCCATCTCGGGCGAGATGAGCCTGTCGGCCAACATCTGAAATGTTGCCGGGGCACCAGCCAATCCGAAGGGCATCCGAACAAATTCGAATAGCCCGAGTCCTGGGACGGTGAAAGCAGTTATCGGGATGGCCCTCTCCGAAAGAGGGACCTGCCAAAATCCGCTCGCGAGGTCAATTGTGCTCACGAATCTGGCATGCTGGAGCTTTCGCAGTATCGCGTCCATAAAGGGCAGCGGATATGCGCTCACGCGAGTAACGCTATTCACCTTCCGGTAGTCCACACAAAATCGGTATTCGCCGTGGGGTTTCCGAATCATCACCACCGGGCTAGACCACTCGCTGTGGGACTTACGAATAATTCCCATCTGCAGCATTTTATGCACTTGCACGTGCATCTCCTCTTCGATCTTATGCGACACCGGATAGTATTTCTGTTTAATTGGGCGCGCGCTGCCGATGTCGATGTCGTGCTCGATCCATCCGGTACAGCCGAGCTGCTCGCAGGAAGGTTCGGGCAGGAGGTCATCCATCACTCGATCGATTTCTTGTCGCTGCTCCTTCGAGATCTCTTCGATACCCAAGGCCGCCAGCGACATCGCCTCCTCCGCACGAAATGAGGAGACAGTGGTTGGGACTTCCTGATCGCAACCTTTAATCCTTATCGTGTTGGTTTCGGGATCCAAACACGCGGAAAAGGCTCGAACGAAGTCACTTCCGAGGGTGCAATCAGCATCAGCCTCGCTCAAAATGAGTACGTCGATCGAGTGGGTAACACCACCTATCGTAAAGGGTAACTGTACATTACCGATGATAGGGACATAATGACCATCGACTGCTTTCGCGCCGGGCCCGACATACATGTTGACGCGCTTGTTCATCGCGGCAGCAATCTGAAGGGCGATGGGACTCAGAACGGTGCGCGAGGCTCCAGTATCGTACAGAGCCCTGCAGGTAAATGGACCGATGCTAAGCGTCAGCCACCATCTGGGGTACTTCTCTACCAACGCGCTCGTCGCAAAACTATCGGAACGCGTTGGCGCTTCTCCCGCGGGGGCATCTGTAGCGAAGGTCCGGGTCGCCATCGGAACGGTAGGGACCTCATCTACGCGTTCCTCTCCACGTTTTTTGGTGCCTCGACTTTTGAGCACTCGGGACAGGTGGCTTTGGTGTACCCAGGCCAGCTGCAGTCCCAACAGAGTAATCTCTCAGCATCGGGGCCGGGAGGCTTGCTCTTGTTTTGTCCGACTTGGGAGTGATGACTTGGGCCCGACCGTTTCTTGCCGGGCGGCCACGGCCGCTTGCCCCGCTCCGTCTTCCCTCGCGTTGACGCGGGTAGGCCGGAGGTTTGCCATCTTTCGGGGAGCCGACGGTGGTCGACTCCTGTACTGCGTCTTTAAGGGGGACGGGAAGCCCTTTCTTAGCCGCCGCAAGTTGCTGCCACTTTTTATCGAAAAACTTTTGAAAAGATTTTTCGAAGTCGGCCTCAGAGAAAGAAGACTTTTCTACTACAGACGCGATGCTCGCTTTGGCCCTCGATGGCGCTTTGGCCCTAGGCTGGTATGCCGCGTCGGGCAGCATGCTCTGTTCCGCGGAGGGGGGGGGGGGGGCTTTCCAGTGTTCGTCGGACTCCGCGATCTCTACTTCCATTGCTTTGGCTAACAACTGCGGTAACGACGCGAAGTAGTTCTGAGTCTTTTTCAACTCTTTCTTCAATTTAGGCAACATATTATCGATTGCCAAGTTGACCTGGTCTGCGACGCTCCACGGCCTTTCGAAGCGGCTAAAAATAGTATTCAGCGCTGCAAGGTAATCGCGGACCGGTTCATCGGGGCCCTGTGTCCGCAGGTGTGCTTCAACCGATAGGTTACGGTTGTACTTCCTGGATTTACTACAGGCGGATAGCGCGGCATCTCTGAACTGTTCATACGACGACCATGTGGGCCGTAGCAAGCAGTACCATCGAAGCGCAGATCCGATAAACAGGGTGGACAACGAGTCTAAAAGCTCGTCTTCCGCTATTCGATCTAGGCAGCAGTTTTCTTCAACACGCTCCAAAAATTCCTCGATGCTGATGTGCCGTCTCCCGCAAAGGAAATCTTCCATTCCCTGATGGTTTTCCCTAAATTCCTGGTTGAACTCATCGAGCGGGAGGTTGCGAGAATTGGGCTCGATCGCCAATTGGGGACACCGAAGCTCGAAGGGATTTGGGCTTGCGTGGCAGCCGTTTGTTGCGCGCCCGTCACTTGCGAGAGCGGACGACTTGAAGATGTGACCCCCCTTCCCCAGCTCGAGCTTACGGGGATGTGAGGGATCGCGTTGGGAAACGCTGCTTCCGTTAGTCGCGTGGCCGCTTGCATCCTGTCGGCCGGTCTCACTGATGCGGTTGAATAAATTGTTGGCCCTGTCGCGTATTGTGTTGTCTGCTGCTTCGTTGTCGAGCAGAAGATTCGTGCCTGGGGATTTAGGTTCGGACTGGCTACAGTCAGGTCGAAGTCCGGATCGATGAGGCTGTATGTATCGCGAAAGTTGACAGCTTTATCTGCGCGAGTCGAGTTGAACCGTGTGCACTCGTTTTGTTGTTGAGCTCTTGCTTCAGCTGCTTGTAGTCTGGCGAGGAGGTTATTGTTCGTGGTCTTCAGATCTTCGTTTTGTTTTATAAGCTTGTCGTGTTCGTTTGACATAGCTTCTAGACAGTTTTGAAGATCGAGAATTTGTTGAGCCTGTGAACGTTCTGCTATCACTGCTCGTTTTAGCTCCTCGGCTGCTAAGCGTGGCATTTGTTTAGGTTCACCGCAAGGCAGATTAACCCATATGAGGTCTTCACGATAATTAATCGTACTTGGGGTGCCTATTGTAGGTATCGATGCCTCGTGCGCGCATGTTGTGTTCGTGTTGGCATGACGTTGTTCACTTGAACCTACGTTTGCTGCTGATACTGTGCACGGCGGTGTTGACTGCGATGTCGGCACGTGGGCGCTCGTAATTACTGCGAACGTCGGTGTGTATGTGCGTACCGCGTCTCGCATGAGTGTCTCGTGTGTATTAGCTGTTGTTGTGAGTGACATGTCGCCGTTATTCGTTTCTTCTATTTCTTGGCTATTTATCATGTCTTCTTCTATGTCTTGATTAACGGCGTTAACGAGATCTTCACGCAATTCTCGCGGTAGCGCGTCTGATTTTATAAAAGTGAGACAAAGGTTATTGCGCCGCGTTATCGTTTCGTGGTCCCACGCGTCTATGGTTTGTATGAAGTCTTTTTCTTCATAGTCACCTTGCAGTCGTCTATATAAGCGGTTCGCGCGTTCGTACATTGTGCCGTCTACCACGAGTTCAAGATTTTCCAAAACGTTATCTATTCTATCACTTGGCAAACTTTTAATCCATTCTTTAATGTGATTGTCAATTTTTTCTTTTATAATTGTTAAGTCGGTTATATCTTTTTCGGCCATTTTTAATTTTTATAAAACTGATAACGAAAAACAATAGTTTTGGAATATCCTGAAATAGTGGATTTTAATTGTAGGTCGCGTAACAATTTTTAAGCAAATACGCCCGATTGTTGCCAACACGCACAGCGGAAAATAAATGTTGTTACGCTTGTACGCATACGTTTCTAAATACGAAGAATTACGATTCTCGCTCGCACGCTATGATAAAATTTTAAGGTGCTGAAAACCGAGCGCCTTGTTTTGGTTGTGCGCTGTGGCTAGCTTCTAAACGTAAACAATTCTTCTCTCGTCGCGCGCGTCGCATTCCTCGGT